TAACTGCAACCATGGAATTTCTGCATTATGGAGAGAAAATTTTTTTCAAAGAAATGTATACTGGATATAAAATGGTGTCCTTCAAAGAGACTGCTTTAAAGCTTCAGAGGAACAGGACATCCCAGGGGTCCTGTGGACTTTCCCTTTGTCACATTTCCACTCTCATGGCTAATTTAGCTTCTATCACAGTAAACTGTTTATGATTATCTGAACAAACCACATTAATTCCTAACAGCCTTGAATGTCTCTCTCATCTATCTATTGAGCGTCCACCCAGGCATTGCCTTCTTCAGGAAGTTAACATTCTCAACACTTGTGAGCTCCTTAATGATGACAATGACAACAGTGATACTTATCAGGTGCTTCATCTGGGCCAGACTGCCGTTCTAACTCAAATGAATTTGGCATCAACTCAACTCCTCTTTATGACAATTCTATGAGGTAGGTACTAATAACAGCCCCATTTTACACTTAAGACACTGAGGTACAAAGCCTACCCCAGGACACATCACAGGTCAGTGGTAAAGCCAATAGTTGAACCTAAGCCGACTAGTTTCAGAGTCTGTGGTCTAATCCCTAGGCCACACAGCCTGTGTGTGTGATTAAAAATGGGACAGATCCTGGGTACTTCTATATACACAAGGCTCTTGGCTGCCTTGTTCAATTTAAGTTCAATGAGCTTTGGGGTTGGAGAAGTATATAAGATGGCATATTAACCCGAAAGGTATAAAGTCTATTCTAAAAACACCTTTGCTGAAACTTAATTTTCACACAAATATATAGCTGTAACTGGCATACCTCAAATGTGTTAGATTTACCATTCTTAGGATAAGAAAAGTGTCTTAGAGTCTAATGAAAACCCTTGGCAACTTGAATATTATATGATGCCGAATTATCCTATAATTATTTGAGAGGTCAAGAATCTTAAACATTTAGTCTTAAAACTCTCCACATGGGTGATGCAATCAGAAAATTTAAGGATGTATGAAAATATTTTTACACAAAACAAGTAGAAATCTACTTACTTAATAAACTTTAAATAAAAGGTACAATATTTTCCAACACGGGTATTTTTTTTCCTCTATTGCAAAAAAGGAAATTTTTAAAATAACATTTTTTAATGAATATGAGCACCTATTTTATTTTCCAGTGCTGGTTTCAAGGAAGAGTAGGATAAAAGTGTGTGGAATAAAACACTGTATCACTTATTAACTGGTGGGAAACTCTAAGTTATAATGGTGCCCAGCACTAAAGCTTCATAAAGAAAAAAATTTGAGTCACCTCCGTCCAACCTCTTTGGCACTTTAGTCTGGCAGGAAAGGGAAACAAGCCTAGGGCAAAAGTGTGAGAATTGTTTTTATAGTTTTAGTAGGAAAAGCTTCAAGAAGGCAAATGTATACTAAGATCCTTGCCTCATCCACAGATAACACCATCAACATCAGATGTGATGCGGGAATGACCAGTAACGACCTTTCTCATAAAGACTTTCAGTAAGGCAAAGTATCAGTGGTTAGGGGCATAGATTGTGGAGCCAGAAGGTCTGGGGTTTCATCTTATTTCTACCACCTGACCACCTGTCAATTGACTTCAGTGGGTTCACCTGACCCATCTGTGCCTCAGTTGGCTCATTTATAATAAGACAATTACATAGAGCTGATTAACTTAAAGTGCTATTGGGAGGGTACAATGAAATCATGCTAGCCTAGTTTAAAAGAGAATGAACAATACACATTACTACTTGAGCTCAGTCCATAGATAACCTACAGTTGCATCTTACAAGATGTTGCCAACACACTGACTCAAGTACGGGGCTGGGTAAGTCCTAAGCTCTGCGTGAGCAAGGGGGCCAACATCTTTAATGTTTAATTTTGAGGCAGAGATGGCAGAGAGAGAGGGAGACACAGAATCTGAAACAGGCTCCAGGCTCTGAGCTGTCAGCACAGAGCCCGACGTGGGGCTCAAACTCACAAACCGTGAGATCACGACCTTAGCTGAAGCTAGACAGTCAACCAACTGAACCACCCCGGCACCCCAAGGGGGCCCACACCTTAAGGGTTTTTCAAAATTTGGTCTGCAAAGAGGCCCTTACTTTTTTTAATGAAGCGAAATAAAATAGTTTCATATTTAATTCCATCTTCTGAACCAGAAAAAACGCCCCTGTCAATATTATTTATGTGTAACACAAAAATAACCACAGGCACCGTTTGTCTAGAAATCACACCGTCAAACTGTGGTTAGCTGTCTTTGAGCTGAATTGAGTGAATATTATTTTGCTATTCATTTGCTCCTGTTACTGTAGGAGGAACAGGCGTAGACAATAAGGACTTAAGAAAATGTAACAAAAAGAGAAAACAAATCTCTCATTTTTAAAAACATAATTTGTATCCACTTTTATCAGTGTCCTAAATCAAGCCTGTTCAAGACCTACTGTTGTGACATACCTCCTGAAATCCAGATGCTCTCCCTGTTCATCAGAACCATTCCTGCCCTTGCCCGGGCCTACTCAGCAAGTATTAAATTTCTGCTCAACCAGGAATCACATTCTGCAGAGCAAGAAACCTGCACTGAAGTGAAGCAGTTTTGCTGTGGGGATGGCATCACAGAATCCTGAACTCAACCTAACTTGGAAGATTCCTACTCCAAACCACTTCATAGAAAAAGCAGCCCCCTGAGAAATGCAAGTCGCCCAGCTAGCTGGTGGCCGGCACTTTGTCATTTCATTTGCCATCTACCAGGTCTGTACTTTTTGTTTCCCTACAACTAAATTGCCAGAGAATAAACTGAACTTCAAAACTGAAAATCAGGAGTCAACTTTAAACAGCATCAAAAAGCATGAGGATGCCCAAGCTGGAGAACACAAGAAACGGGGACATGTTCATCTAGATTTGAGCAATCACAACAACATACAATCAGCTAAATCCTATACCCTCACAGCAACGTTCTGGATAGAATGACGTACAATATATTTAGACATCTTCATTTGTGTTTCACATTCCTCATTCCCCAATCCAACCTGGAAAAGATGTGGTGATAAAGAGGAGGATGACAAGGGACTTCCCTTATCCTTATCTCCCTCATACACTCACAGGCCTGGGAGAGAAAGGGGGAGAACACAACTCTATTTCATTTCAACACTATCGATTTTCCTCTTCCTTCCTATGTTACTTAGGAAGCTGCATTCTTCCATTAGAAATAACTTCAGACACAGAATTAAAAATAAACAAGGACAATCTAAAAGTTCCATAAGCTATTTCAGGTTGGATTGATTGATACAATTCAGGTAGGACTGATACACCATTCTTTACAATAAGTAAATATCAAATGGAAAAGAAGAGGTTAAGGCTGTAATAAGTAAATTCAAATGTATAAAACAAGTAGATTTCAATTATTTCACCCAATCACTGGGAAGCAAAGATACTCTAAAGAAAATTGCATTGCCTTCCCAACTCCTTGGAGAGCCAGTTTAGTTAACAGCCTACCTCTGCTTCCGAGATGACCATACAGCTTGCATGTCAAACTCATTTTAAAGTGTCAATCATGTCCCTTTCAATCTAATTAGTTTGGAAAGTAGTGTCACTGACCTGGAACTATGCAGACCACTTATTATCATATCATTTGATCAACCTAACACTTTACCTCAGTTGAGTCTGGGACACCTGTAGCCAAAATGTAATATCCTTTCTCCCGCTCCTTACTGGTAACTCTCAATACAATTTCCTATTTACAACTCAATTTATCTCTATGAATAAGCATGGCCAACTTCACAGAGGCATCCACAGAATTTGCCTTATTTAAAATTTCATGGTAATTAAAATTGAAAGGTAAGGGGAATTAGAAAAAGAGAATCACATATAGATCTGAACCAGAGGAGGAAATATATACCTGTATCTGTATGTAAAATGCAGATGTGAGGTTTTTGATCCCCAAGAACTGCTAAAAGGAGAGGAAAGAGGAAGAATAGAACAACATGGATAGGCTGGGTGAAATCTGGGACCTTACACATGGTAGGGAGGCTATTCTTCTCTAACAAAATATAACACAGCAAGCCATTTTTATGAAAGGAGTCTGTGGGCTGTAAACCCATCATTGGATGGGTTTGTGTTCTAATAAAAGCTTTCTCACGTTCATAGTATTTAACCTGACTTGAACCTGGCCAAGGACAGGATGAAGCACATTGAAGACCTAATCAGTAATTCCCCAGAGGTCAAAGAACACCCATGTACCTCGGGAGGAGAGGCCACAACCAGACCAAAGTGAATGGGCAATGAGGTGGGCCTGGAGGGGTGACAACACCGGGGGCTGGAAGATGCTCCTCAGTGAAGCAACAGATCACCGGGCCCATCCCTGGTGAGAGGATGGAAATTACCTAATCCTTTCCTCATTTTACTTGGGCGTATTTAAGAACTGATTTGCAAGACAAAAATACAAGCAAGTCATTTCTGAACCACAGGACATCATAATGAATCAGGGACAGAGAGAACACATGCACACACCACCAGAATGCTGCATTCGTATGTTCAGATGTGGTATTAAAAAAAATAGGTATAGGAGTTCTATTTAAAGTCCTGACTGTTCACTCTAGAAGACAATAATCTAAAGCAGGATGTCAGTTGCTAACACTTCCTTTCCAAGCCTGTGTTTCCCTAGGCAGATGTTGCGTTTTACCAAAACTCCTGTTTGAAAGATAAGCAAGATTCTTCATTCATGTTTGCTTGATCAAGTAGTTATTGGTGAATATGATTTTACATCTGGTCAAATAAAATAAGCATGTATCTTGGGGCGCCTGGGTGGCTCAGTCGGTTGAGGGCCGACTTCGGCTCAGGTCACGATCTCGCGGTCCGTGAGTTCGGGCCCCTGTGCTGACAGCTCAGAGCCCGGAGCCTGTTTCAAATTCTGTGTCTCCCTCTCGCTGACCCTCCCCCGTTCACGCTCTGTCTCTGTCTCAAAAATAAATAAACGTTAAAAAAAATTTAAAAAAAAAGCATGTATCTCAAACGTACCTTCAGGTGAAGAGCCTGTCTTTTGGGAAAAGACAGCATTAACTTTACTCTTCTTACTGATATCACTGTTGACGGACAAGCTGGACTGAATTTTTCTATGCATTTTGTTAGAAACAGGTGCTGAAAGTCTTCGATTATCCGCAGATACGTTTTTGGCCCCGTGGTGGTGAATTCCATTTCCGTTGCTGAGACTAGTGGGGCCGTTCTTTATCTTGCCGCCTTCCTCCTCACTTGGCTCCTGTAGGGACGCTTGAAGCTGAGGCAGGCGCTGAGGTTGGGCTAAAGAACAGGAAAAGTTTTTCCAGTTAAAAAAATATTTGAAAACCATCAAAATATATTCAGTAACAGACTTTTTCTTTTCCCCCTGTGTTTCGCCCGTGGTACTAAAAAGTGGAAGGTGGAGAAAAAGGAAATATTAATTAACATGGACACAGAGAAAACAATTAGTACAAAAGGCAAAGTGGGAACAGGGTCATCAGAAGTGACTTGACACAAGGAATAGGAAAATAGCAGGAAAGACTTTTGTTTTTTTAAGAAAATTTAAGTTGGAAATCTGAAAAAGTTGTTCCACACCCAATCAACAGCAAATGTTTTTCTTCTATATACTAGGCCCCACTTTAGGGTTCTAGAAACAGCAATATTATCTCAATATCTCTGATAATGGGTTAAAGTAATTAATTGTCTTTTGAGATAAAAGGGAAAGAACAATGAATTCAAATGTCAAAGCTGGACAATAGAGAAGGAAATATAGTTGTTTTTCTTTTCAATTTCACTTCATTTTTTTAAAGGTTTTTATTTAAGTAATCTCTACACCCAATGTGGCACTTGAACTCAGGACCCGAGATCAAGAATCACATGCTTTTCCGACTGAGCCAGCCAGGCACCCCTTCAATTTTATTTTAAATCCTGGAGAAGAAAACCTTTTCTATATGTATTCTTCAATTTGATATAAAAATAAACCATTTATGAAAAGTTAGGAATAGAAGACAGTTTCCTTAATCTGATAAAACACATCTGCCAGAGTTAAATGTCAGCACTATAGAAACACTCCCATTTAGGTCAAGACCAAGAAAAGGCAGCCCAGCTTCACCCCTCTTATTCGACATTACACTAGAGGTCCTGGCGAAAACAATAAATATGAAAAAGAAGTAACAGGTCTGAAAAAAAATGTTTTTGAGACTATACCTAATTTGAATGTTCTAGGGGAAATTTAGGCGACTATAAATCTTGAAACACAAAGAATTTAACAAGGTATATACAAGATCAACCATATTAAAATTAAAAAAAAGTTCCTCTAGGCCAACAGAAACCAAATAGCAAATATACAAGAAAAAATGAACTCTTCACAATATCATAAACAAAACACAAACAAGCAAACAAACAAACAAAAAACAAAGCCAAGAAAAACACTGTTAAGAATTAAGCTAGGACAAAATGGGCAAGATTTTCTGGCAAAAATTATAAAACAATACTGAAGGACATTAAAAAATATACTACTAACTGTAGAGCATATAAATGTGAATTCTCCCCAATTTATTTATTTAGTGTAATTCCCATAAAACAACAGGCTTGTTGAGGGAACTTGACAAGCTGATTCAAGAATTTATGAGGAAGAGTAATCAACCATCACTAAAGAAATTTTCAGAAAGAAAATGAGGGTTGCAGCATTTGACTTACTACATATATAGTCTTATCACAAAACCAACAGGAGCTAAAGCAGTGAGCTGATGGTTCAGACACAGACACATAAACCAGGGGATAAGCAGAGAGAGTTCCCAATATAAATGTGTGCACACATTTAAGGGCATGTATTCCTTAACCAAATAAATTACGGGTGTATTAAATGCCTATCTATGAAAAGCAAAACCTTTCAGATTGAAAAAATATAAGACTATTTTAACATCATGACACTAAGGAGGGACAAACTAATTGGTTGTTTGGACAATGAATCATAAAAAAAAGCAGGATGACTATTCATCATTGGTGCTGCCTGGCATTTCTGAACACCCTCATGGATTTTTGGTAAATTCCTCTATTCCATTCCTAGACTCCTCTGCAGCTAAAGGGCAGGCATGTGACCTAAGTTCTACTAAGCACAAGTATGACTTACATGCAGAAAGGCCAATGCAAGAAGGCAGCCACCTCCACCAGAGAGGTGGAAACCCTCAGCACAGACCATGTAGAAAGCATTTATTGGTCTCGGCAGTGGGGTGCAGTGTCTGATGTCCACTTCCTATCAGACCAATGAACCGATAGTCTAGCAGTGGGGTTTTCAACAAAGAAGCCCCATTGAATAGATGGGAATGATGTGTGGCTGTGTAACTCTTGGGAGGGCCTGTATGTTTTTTTTTTCAACGTTTATTTATTTTTGGGACAGAGAGAGACAGAGCATGAATGGGCGACGGGCAGAGAGAGAGGGAGACACAGAATCGGAAACAGGCTCCAGGCTCCGAGCCATCAGCCCAGAGCCCGATGCGGGGCTCGAACTCACGGACCGCGAGATCGTGACCTGGCTGAAGTCGGACGCTTAACCGACTGCACCACCCAGGCGCCCCTGGAGGGCCTGTATGTTAATAAATTTATTTTCTATTTAAATTAGCCAAAATGGAATCTAGTGTTTGTAGCTAAAGAGCCCTAACTCCCCCCACCCCCAGTGTTATTTTACATTGGTTACATAATGAAATTATTAAAATCAACATTCACCTTGATTGAGTAGCCCCTAAGCAAAGCTACCCATCATCGCACTTCAGCAAAAACCACCAACAAAAACAATTTGTTCCCAAAATTTTACTATTTTATAATTTCCTGCAATTTCAAATCTAAAAGTGCTGGTTTAATTAATCTTCTTTTCCATTTATGAATATGAGCAGTTATGAAATGTATATTACATCTGAATACTAAGAACTCTTCAATTGAGAAAAGTATTGCATGCAAAGCAGTAACAATTATATGTGGCATTGACCATGTCTGATTATCTGTGTTCTGGGGATTAGCTAAGACTTGGTATATATTTTTGACAAAGACAGTTTGCACTTGAGTAAATCTCTAGCACACATTGTTTACCTCCGTTCCTGTTCACATATCCTCTGTCTCTTGAAGAAAAACATCTTAACATATCAAAACATGCTAACTCATGAATGTGCATATTTTAAGAAAAAAGACATTCTTTTTCTTTTTACTTAACAAAAGCATGCTTTCGTACAAAATCTGTTAACATTAATACCTGATTTATTAAACTAACCTATGAGCTCCCTTAAAGTTTTTCAGTTCTTCAGTGATAAAGGAAAATGACTGTCTAAAAAGTAAAGTAATGGTGGTAAAATGTATCAAAATATTTTGTTTTTCTCCTTACTCTTGATGAAAAAAAAACTTACTTCTCTGTTTAGCAGCCATATATGCCCTTCTGTTAAATATCGACAAGGCATCTGCAAAGGTAGATCTATTTCTTATGAGTGTGCAATCATTTGATCTAGAGATTAATCTGTCGCTCCTGTAACTTGCTTGTATCAACTAGAAGGACACCCTAATGACTGCTATTGAATACACATAGTTATGCATATGTATTTAAAGGGATGCCAGAGAAGATAGTCAAACGTAATGTGGTGTTCTTTTCAGAGCACTTACCAGTAATTTCACCAAATAAATGGAATGTTTGGGCCACGTTTTCTCTGAAAAGAATATTTCAAAAGCAATCCGAGAGCTTGGTTAAATTGAAATATCCAATTGACCAATATTAAGGAGACTTATCAACCAAAAATATCCTGTAACGGTCCATAATCCAAGATAAATTTAAAACTACTATGTACTAGTTAAAACATTCCAATAAGTAAATTTTTTTAAAAAAGGTGGTAAAAGACAACTGTCTTGCCACCAAATTCTCACACTGACAGATCTGACCTTTCTCTACTATCAAAATTGACTATTTGCAAATTACCAGATATGGCTCAAGTGGTATTCAAACACATCCTTAATGATTTATCTACATTTCAATCTTCAAAATGATATCTATTTCTGTTGGCAGATAAATCAAAGTACATTCATTTTTGTTTCACTGTCCTCTAATTATTTTAACTATAGTTTGTATTATGGTCAGGTAACCAAATATTATCTCTTTATGCCAGTTTGGTTTTTTTAATAATAATAGTTTTTTTTTATTAAAATAATTTCTTAGTTTTAGGATTTGGGCAGATACATACAGTATGTAAGTCAAATTAAAAATGGATAAACCCTAAGTATATTAGCTATATTAACATTTATTTTAAGTTCACTGCTAATTTTTCATGGGTGTGACTTGAATCTTAGAGTCAAATTCTAAGCAAAACCAAGTCAGAAACAGGATTTTATTCTCAAAGAACAAAAACATCTGATTGATTAAACCCTAACTACTTGGCTTTAAATAGATTTCTTTTCCTTATTGTGTAAAAGTTGTGTATGGCTTTAAAAAAAAAAAAAACCCAGTAATATGGGAACGACACAATGCTTCTTAAAACACAAGTGATGCCTAGGGACCCTCACTCTCCCTTTAATGATCCACTGCTCTCATTCAGCTGTCTTTCTTTTTTCAAATCTTTACATATGTGACAGCTCTCAAAAGTAGACCATAGACCATCTGGCATTTTCCGAGGTGTAACTTGTGCAAATTCAGCTCTATTGGGAGCGCACTGCTATCTTCTGCCTGCGTTATAAAGGGACAATAGAATGTAGAACTTATGAGTTGTTTTGAATTATTCATTTTTTTGCCTGTATATTCAAGAAATTTTACAAACTCTGCATTTTGTACTACATAATCACATGCGTTAAAGGTACAAAGAAACTTTTTGACACCTCTTTTCTACAGAAAGCTGGCATTTTGTTTGATATGTGAACATTCAGCATCTGTTATATCATTCTAAACAGGATGGGTGCTTCTACAAAAGACCCCATTTTAAACTTACTCTATATGAGCAAAAAAATGTATTCTTGACATTCAGTAACTAATGCAATACACATCAAAATTTCAAATACCAGTTATATGAACATTCAGCATCTTCAAACCTGGATAGCATTGGTCACCCGCTTACCATATGTGTAAAGAATTTTTTTTTTTTTTTTTTACCAGTGCTCACACAATGCCGCATGATTGTAATTTTAATATCCGTGATGAATAGTTACAAATGTCTTAAGAAATACTGTGCTTTCTAGGTTCAAATGTTTTCAATCAGGGAGGAAACCAATAGAATTAAATCTAGTGATTTTCAGTAAGAATAATAAATATGGGAGTAATGAGTCAATAGCATGAA